AAACTTGGATATTTTTTCACGGTTGTAGGTGGTTTCGGTATTCGTACAATCGACACTCACGTTACTATCATTCAAACAGTCGCCCTGTTGCTCTGTCGCACATATTCTTATTAGTCCATATCAGAGCTGATATGCACTGGTTTTGGGTTTCACTGTGATTAGAACTCATCACCAGGATGGGATGACGACTGTTCAAAGGAGAGTGATACAGATGTAAATTCTACAAATTCCGCAACTATATACAACAGGTATTTCGGAGATATTATGAAGGATAGTACGGATGAATGGTAGTGTGCAGCTAACACAACTGCGCTGAGCATTTTCTGTGAGTAAAGCGGTCAACATGTAGCGGTCACTCACGAGTCACAATCACTCAAATCACGCAACAATTCCTGTCTCACTTGTAACCTCAGCCGACAGCATGTACACTACAATTTCCAATCCATTTTGGTTTACGCAGCTACCACCTGCGTCACGCACCAAGCTTACGAACGTCAACCAAATCAGGTTGCGTTGTATTCATGTTTGCGCAATTACCGAACACGAATCGACACCCACCCCCGCAACTCGGCAACACACTCACGTGCACAGGACAATAAGTCAACCGAGCTCCACAAGTCTCCACGGACAACTACGGAACGTGTATCAGCTGAACTGCACAGAAGGCATGTCTCGCGTTCGGAACTTCCCTCAGGAACTCTCAACAGTTGTCCTAAAACGACAAGTCACTTTTTGGCTTATTCCCTTATTGCATTGTATCCATTTTTATCAAGTGCAGGTAACCTTTGCAATCATCATCATTCTGGTAAAACAGATATTTGCTAGTGCTCATCACCTTCTGATAATCAGTCTAATTACGTTACAACCAGATAACTAACAATTGGTGAGCCCGACGTGACACCTATACCATGCCATATCCTCCAGCACAAGATATTCCCTCAACTTGAATCGCGCCAACACCCAACATTAAAGCCGCCTCTGTTCATCTTCCACCATCCTGGCACCACGACCCATGCAGCTGGTTCACTCAAGTGGAAACTCTCAGCCTTCTATATACCTTGCCATTTAAGTAACCCATTTAAAGACTCGCATGTCTCAGCTACGCTATTAATCACCACCGAGACCGATCAACCTTACAAACAGATCACTGACAAGCACTGCTCTCAGTCCGGAGTCATTTGATAGGTCCCTTTTGGTTTTAGTAGGATCTCTTCCACAGAACCGTAGCATAGTTGGGATGTTTGTATTTGGTCATTGATCAATTTAATGGAGTTCTCGAGGTATCCTAAACCTTCAGTCCCTAGCTTTTGATGGCCAAGTGCATCCCCCATCCACTAGCGCCTCTAAGCTACTCATTAGAATCAGGTATTGCGCAGATATTGTGAAATTCTCGATGTATTTGACGTTATCCTCCGCAAACCACCTGAGGTTTACAAGAACTACTATCTACGTTAGTGTTTCGCTCAGTGAAAGGGTGTCTTTTAGAACGAGACCTATAGTGGTGCATTTTTTCGAGACTTTTGAGAAAAATCATGCTCTACTGAAGAAACGATCTGTGAAAGTTTATCTCCTTCCAAAGTGACTTCACCCGAGAGTTGGGTAAGGATTTTCGTGTTCTTTTACCCCATCGAGTCAAAAAGTGCTCTTTTTTCTGATTACAGTCGCACAGAATTTTTGCGGTCACCATCACTGGCCAGCAATTTGTTGTCTAGGTGTTCATTCTGTTGCCATAAGGGACATTCACCCACTTCTTCGGAGTCCTCGGCATTTAGTCTAAAAATTGACTTAGTTGAAAGATCGTCCTTACAATTATTCAGAAGTAGTGGGTAAATTTTTAGTTTCGAAGCATTCAATAAAAAGTGTGATTGTGAACCTTCAAACCCCATCCCAGACTGCTAAACCACAGTCTTTTCCAGTTAGGAACGAAATTTAACATAATGAGAGAAATTCGAACATACTGTGGCTACTATTTGTGCTGTTGTTGTTGTGTTGTTATCCTCACCCATGAGTCGCAGCAGATACTCTAGCGGATTCTGTTTGCATTTTAGTTTGACAGTTCAGAAGTTCGATTTCAACTGGCTGGAGTTCAGATGTAGTATTATGCATTTGTAATATCGGCTTTATATACATTAGCTACAAGTCAGATTTCCCACTGCCGCAGTCGAAAAGCAGAACATTTCTGTTCTCGGCTCGAAGTGTGCTGGTACGTCTTTCAGATGATCATGCGATTTTTATGGTTATATCCAAGGTTCACACGAGGAACTGCCTTGCAGAAATAATTGTTCACTTCTCCCTATGATACGGCTATGACGTTCGTAGCTGAACGGTTAAGGGTTCAAATTACTAGCGAGGAAGTCGCGCGTTTGAGACTTCCTGATGTTCTACGCACTGCCGAGTCCAAACAAGGATGAAACAACTCAACAGTGTTTTTTGACTTTCCAGCATAACTTGGCTTCACCTACAGTACAAAATCCCAAGTAAAATTTCCAAATCCTTTTAAATAAATAACCTCAGTTGATAGTTGCATTTTTGGTAAACTGCTCTGTAATTTTTGACAAAAAGTTCTGCGATCCTCCCGCCATTCGCTGCTGTTTCAGTCTGACGTGCGAGGCTACTTTTTCTGATCATGAGGTGAGAGTATTTAAGAAAGTCCTGCGATTAATTTAACACGCCGTCACGAAGATACTGGACCTTACCGAGTTGAGACGCTTTGTGTGCCTCCGTAACCCATTGAGTTATACTGGCTAGTATCCAAGTGACACTCACAGAGTCTCTCATAACAGGTTAGTTGACGGTTAGAGGTTTGACCAAAACAGCCTCCTGGCCCTCCAGGATGGGGGTTGGAGCAGGTGTGGTGACTCGTTCTATAAAAATGGTAGCACACTAACATTTTCTGTCAAATACCATTGCCTTGTAGTCAGGCTTTTGAGCTACAGAGTTTGGTCGAGGACCTTAATCATCTCCTGGACGCCTTCACTGTAGCCCATGTACAACTGTGAGTTGCGCGCACCGCATCGGCCGTGTAGTGGTCAGCAGCCCGGGTCGTCCTACTTGCTGCATAAACCAGGACGGGTAAGCGAAATCATACTATCGCTAATGCCTCCCTTCTTTCTATTTCACGATTTCCCACTGAAATTTGGATACTCTCAGCAGGGCGAGATGGCTCAAGTGGATAGAGCGTGAATTTACTAACCGAAAGATCCGTGGTTCGAGCCCGACCTCTGCCTCTCGACTTCCCCTGTCTAGGCTTGGGCAACCTGGCAGTATCTCAGCCCTCATGCTTCCTTCGGGTAGCATGGCAGCTAGGCACCGAAAGGATTTTACAGCTAAACGATCATCACCATCGATCTAGGACCGACCGTTTCGCTCGTCGTACATCACACTCAGCTCAAAGTCAGTTTTCAAGCCTCGAAAGCCTGTCAACTTAGCCGTCATCAATGTTCGCACACTGAACCAATCAGGACAACAGATGGCTCTTGCTCGTACGCTGGGTTCCCTCTGCATTGATGTATGCTGTCTGTCACAAACAAGGATAGAGGGCGCAAGTACTGTGATCGAACTGACTTCTCCCTAACTCTCTTCCAGGTTCCAGCTGCGCGCCTCTGGTGATGCAGAGGCCGCTGCAGCTCCTGGTCACTGTAAAAAGATACCCAAAGAGCTACTCAGAGTCTCAGCTGATGTTTACGGTAGAATTCAGCAAACCCCATCCAAACCTTGGATCTTTGATAGGACCATGCCTTTGCTGGATGTCCGGCGACAGATTTCACCTGGCCACAAACACAGCTCCACGTGACGCCTCGTGCGGATCACGAGGTTTGGTGGACCCGAAAGACCAGAACCATGTAAACGTACGCAGTCCGACCCATTTTATTCGTTTGACTGGTCCTCAGAGGCCTTTTGTCAGCGAAATTATCAGGGATCAAAATGGTCCCGTGATATCCAGCAAAAAAGAAATTTTGGACCGCTGGACAGAGTATTTCGAACAGAAATTCAGTTGGTCACCTGCTACCTCCATTTCGGAATCCAACCGGTCGATGCTGTTAATTACACTTGTTCAACAGGGTATGTCTCAGAAGTTTGTGGACATAATCCGATCCCTATATTCGGGTACCTCTGGACGTGTGAAAGTGTACGGTGAGCTCTCCAAAAGCTTCCCTACAAAAAGGGTTTCCCACAAAGATGTCCACTCTCTGCATTCTTGTTCAACTTAGTTTTTGATGAAATAATAAGGCGAACGCCAGGCCTTCAAAACTCCGCTGTTCAAATTGTCGATCTGGAGTAGGTGCAGTCTCTAAATATACAAACCCAACTCAAGGGGAATCACTGGATGTTGTGGAGAAGTTCACATACCTCGATAGTTGTGTTAGCTCTAACGGAAATATGCCTACTGAAGTCAGTGCAAGAATCTCAAGGGATCAAATAACGTCTGCTAATTTGCCCCACTTGTGGTGTCAAGATGCATATGATTGGGTCTTAAGAGTCGTATGTACCAGGCTACAGTATGGGGTGCGTCGTTGTATGGGTGTAAGACGTGGTCTCTATAGACTGATGATGTGAGGCGTCTTCAGATTTTTTACTACCGATGCCTCAGGAGCGCTGTCGGTTTTGAATAGCAACGTAGTAACGAGGTAAGCAGAAAACGAGTATCTGGTTGTGCAACAGGTACTTCAATCGCGAGAAACATCGGGCACCATCAACTGCGGTGGTTCAGTCATGTGGTACGCATGCCGACGCGCCGTCCATCGAGACAAGTGTTGTTCTCCGTCCCTCCGTTAGAATAACGCAAATCTCGATGTAGACAACTCATGACTTAGTACAAGGGTGTGATGATTGAGTTTGGTTGTTGTACGCCTTGCAGGATGGAGATACCGTGACTCCGCCTATGCCTGGCGTTCGTGCTGTCAGTTTCCTTCGATATTGTCTGATTGAGCGCCTGAGGATGTATTCCAAAATTCTTGAAATAGGCCATCACCAGGTCCCCTCTCTACTCCATTCTTTTTTCACTCTGAGGTTTTAAATATAATTCGATCAACTTCATGTTTGTACGGCAGTGAAACATCAGTCTCAACATCGATGTTGCTGTCTCTGATGATGAAGCTAACACGTGTAGAATACAGCTCTGACACGAATACTCTTGATGTTCACTTCAGAACTCACTCAGGGCGTATGACATTTGTACTAGAAGCAGTGAAAAATAGACATCCACTCAAGGGTGATAAGTACTCACCAGCCTTCATAAAAGAACCTACTCTCAAGTTTGCTATTAACTGAAAGCAAGACAAGCATTCACTTAGGTTGATCTCACTTCTGAGTGCTCCAGAGGGTAAGGGGAATACAAATGGTTTATATTAAAATTGGAACAAACAACAGCAGGCTAATCAGTTGCATTTTAGCAGTTTCGAGGTAACCAAACGGTATATAACCCTCTCGTTCGCTTTTCGGTCAAAGGAAGTTTATAGAACCTCTGCATTGTTCTGATCTGATTGCAGTTTGTTATTCATAACTATGAAAATAATGCTGCGAAGATTCGTCCTCCGCGGCCTGTCAATCACTTCTGGCGAAAACAGTTTGATACTGAGTCGGCCGTTCATACTCGGGTGAAATAATAACGGAAACATTCCCTGATGCCGCTCTTGCTGGCAAACACTGCTCTAAGGTTATCTCGATGGTCAGCAGGTACCGGTATTGCAAGCCATCTCATTTGAACCATGCAATAATGACCTCTCTCAAGCGTTCTGTCCGCCGCGGCGCTGATGAAAGTAGACAGCTGCCTTGTCTTCCGATTGGAAGCTCCTAATTCCCGTATTTGTAGGTGGTTGCTAGTTACACTTAAATCACTTTGACTACTCTCTGACCCCGGCTACGTAAGTGGACTGAAGGTCAGTACTCTCAGTTCCTCTATTTGTAAATACGCCTAATCGCGTGATCCTACCTCACAAGGACGCCGGATACAGGAAAGGCAGGAAGTACACTGTGATTCTTCGGATGTGCTACGCGTACCAATGCCGGAAATAAAAGCTGAACGTAGCCAGTTCGAAAATCCAGTAAGGTGGGACGTAAAGTTGCATTATCTTTAGTTGTTACATAGTACGAGGAAATTTCTTCCACTGCCTATAGCCTCTCGTCACTGTGACTGCCAGCGGGTAAACAGTTGCCAAGACTGTGACCATATGGATCGATAAGCGATTTGAACTACTTCGGCAAACGACCTCAAGTTTTACGCCACAGGCGCATCCAAACCAACTGTCTAGTTGGACTATTTTAACGTCTTTCCCTTTGGAAGTAAGAACGAGGCCAAACCGTAGTCACTCGTGGTTTAAAATCCGCTTGGGTTTACTTCTACCAGTGTAGTATAGAGCGCCTACCACTTTGAATGATTCCTAAGTACAATCTTGCTTACTCAGCCGAAGCTTCGGCTCATTAGCTGTTTTCCACCCACAGAAATTACCTTCGGAGAACCACTGTCCCTTGATTCTTCCATAGCGTGCATACGACACCGGTAAAGTCAGTAACCGTTATATAGTCATCGTTAAACGAACGGCAGTCTCACTCAGGCTAAAGTCGCGTCCCAACGGACGGGAAGGAACAGGAAACAATTGGCGATCCGCGCCGTCCAAGTGGCAGGCAGTATGTATGAATGGACTCAAAAGCGAGAGAGAACGCACCGGTGACACTCGTTTAGCTATCGCAATAGAACAAGACTACGGTTGCTTCACGAAAGTGAAACACGCAAGAAAAAGGAACTTCTTGTGACGTCTCGCATTACTACCCAGGCAGCGGTGGCCTAAGCAACAACAGGCAATAGCCAACTTTCCATATTTCGTCCCAGTTGCCTTTAGACTCCTCTCGTTTCTTGGTTGAGTCATTTTTCTGTAGGACTCATCTGTCGGCATGTCAGACGCACTCAGGTAAGCGACCATTCAGACATCATAGCTCACGTCTACTGATTTATAAGATCTGTTCAGCCATTGTTTCCCTGTTTCTATTGGAACCGCGTTGCCGACCAGATCGACCGAAATGCCGTTCTTGTGCCTACCCGGGATACTTCTCAGACAACTTTTTTACCCCTGAAAATCGAATGCAAGGTCCAAACACAGCAGTTGAGCAAATGATACACTATCTCTCCGGAATCCGTCTACTACGAACTTCCATTGATGCTGCAGCTGCTGAACTGGGTTGCGCTGCTGTTGGATTTGCCCTAATTTAGCGAATTGAGGCCTCCTCACTCGAGTGGATGCTCGTAAATAGCTGATACTGTGCCGACCGACCCGCCAGTATAGGGACTCGTGCTAGTCGATATACAAAATGCTTGTTGAACTTACGCTTACTTACTTATACTTATCGAGCTGTAGCTATGACCTACGGAAAAGATGCCTGCTGATCTGGCCACCAAGTGTCCATGTATGGTCACATTAAGGGATAATTTAGTGCGCATCCCGGACACCTTAGTTCAACGGAGGCACACCTTGGTAGTATGCTCAGCCTGGAAACAAAACGTGATGATATTGCTGAGCAGTTCTTATAGGTTCGCACCAGCCGCCAGTTTTTTCAGTAGCACTGGTTTTTGGCACAGCGATAAGCGAAGTGGTGTTGAGAAACTCAAACCAGCCCAATTTCGTTCGTAGCTGAAGCAAATGTTTTGGTAATTGTAGCACTGAGCAGGTGAGTCGCACAAATCAGCTAACCAGTGTCTGTTCTTTATTGTCCTTACTGTTTATTTATATAACTTGCTCGTTTTACGTACGCGACTGAAGGGAGTAAAAAACAGCCAGCATATCGCAGCATAGGTCTTCTGTCAGTTGTAATAAGATAGTGAATGCCGTTGTGCCACCTGACAACCTTGGAGTGGTTACAAAGCCAACAGTTACCGATGGTGCTGTTCAGTTCTGATGTGCCAAACAGCAGACAGTCTGAAGGTGGATTAGAGGGTAGTTATCAAGATATATTAACAAAGATTTCACATTGGGGGTTGACTAGTGGGGAGGAAATAGGCCATTTAACGCAACGGCGTACGGCAGTTTCGGCAGAAAGGCAATCCAGGTCCGTTCGAAGTACCACAAGATCTAAAAATGAAGCAATAAAACAAAAACGATGTGTAGGCTGAGGAAGTGCGTTCTGGAAATCGGATGTGTAACTATCAAACAAACGCACACATTTAAATGGTCCCAGCCTAATCCCGTACACCCTTCGATCGACCGACCCGCGTGCGTTCATGATGAGTGAACGGAACAAACCGACTACCCAGCTTGCACAAGTCTGTCGGACAGTTCGAAGGAACACACGTCAAAGTTGCAAAGACATTCCAGATATGCAGCGAAAGGATGGTGATACAAAGCAGGAACTTGCGTACAAGCTGCAGGTAACAATGCCAAGAGGGGAGCAAAATACGCGATTGCAGGATGGTACAGTGCGTAAAAGCATATATAGGTAATTCTGAGTACGCCACACTCAGTTTCGGTGCGCTGCTGTATAAGTGCCTACCTGCCATGCTACCCGAAAGAGGTACGAGGGCTGGGATACTGCCAGATTACCCAAGCCCACACAGGGGAAGTTGAGAGGCACAGGTCGGATTCAAACCACGGACCTTCCGGTCAGTAAATTCGCGCTCTAACCACTTGAGCCATCTCGCCTCTGTATAATTAAACTGAAGAAATAAATCCCGAGGCGGGATATGCCGAATTCCTAACAAAAAGCTAAGCTGACATGGTTGAAATCAAGGCTACATCGAGTGCAATGGCATGCAATAAAGTGGGGCTGGACAAACATCTATTCACATTGGAAACAATCATTGAGAAAAATTGCTTGCGTTGTCAACAATATGCAGTCGAGGATCCGTCCAATACAGATGCGACAAAGCCAATGAGTGCAATTTTACTCGTGCTCAATGGTACAATCTGGTCAAGGTCCCATCCGGGACAAAATATTACTTGTGATGGGAAAAGTCATGACCCCACATCCCAAAAGTTACTAGTTTCAGAAGTGGATCACGGTTTCTAGCAGTGCGATTTACCACGGCTAACTTGGCTTGGTTGAGAGCAACTTCCTCTCTGTCTTCTATGCTAAACAGGCCTCATTTTCCTCTCACACAATCATAGTACTTCAAAAATGTCCGCAACAGTGGTGTGCTCGAAAGACCTGTGGTTAAAGCGTGAATTTACTGACTGGAAGGCCCGTGGTCCGAACCCAACCTCTGCATATCGACCACTCTTGTCTGAGCCTGGGGAACCTCGCGGTATCTCAGCCCTCTTGCTTCCTTCGGGTGGCATGGCAGCTAGGCACCAAAAAAGTTTTACCTACTCGCCAATCGTTTAAAAACTTATTCTGGGGGTAGGTTGTCTAAATGCGTGTTTAAGGGGCGGGCACCTCGGAATGACTGTAATAAGCTAGCACTAAGTTCCTCCCACATCCTCTTTCATTCTTTTTTTACGGTAAGGCTGTCAAGTAAATTATGATCGTACAGCTACGAATACCGATGATGTACCGCCAATGATGAGCCAAAATGAGATCAGGCATTCAGAAGGCGAACCTTGACTATGCTGGTGGTGCTTGTTTGACTCCAAACACAGTGACCTTAAACAGTAACGACCTCCCCTGTCTAGGCTTGGGCGACCTGGCAGTATCCTAGCCCTCGTGCCTCCTTCGTGTGGCGTGGCAGTTAGGCACGGAAAGGGTGCTACAGCTGAACGATTATTATTATTATTATNCAACACTAACCCGTAACTGCGATATCCCTGACCCGCACACAGTGATTGCGTGTGCTATCCAGAAAAAACAATTGTGCTCGCTTCTTAGGCATTGTTGGTCTTGTGCCCACCAAGCTAATCAACAATTCATATAGTTTTAGTGAATCAAGAACGATCAGGTGATCAAGTCGCTTGCACGCTGATTACTTGTCTTATTATTATTATTATTATTATTATTATTATTATTATTATTATTATTATTATTATTATTATTAGTGGCCTCAATACGTCTTACGCCTATGGAGTTCACGAGGCAAATGCTTTCAGCTTTGCTACGCACTGACGGGTGGTGTTTAGTTGACGAACAAGTCCACATATGGATCAGTACAATCAAAGCTGATGTCTCGGCCGCGTGTCGATGAAGTAAATAGCAGATGAACTTCATACATCGTCAGTCTCAGACCGCTCCGATCTGGGTCGCTTGCACACAAATACCAGACATCTGTCATGAAGTAGGGTAACTTTTCAAAACTCGTGTTCGAATTTTTGTACCTCTTTATATGCACATCTGCGTCCATCCAATGTACACATTCACGCGTATCAGAAGGGTGTTCAATTATCGCCCTTTTGAACTCCGTTCTTAGTCGACCAGTATGACTTGACCGATTGTCGCCCACTGTACGGACGTTCGGCAATAAATCCTGTTGTGACAACCAGGCTTTTTGCAGGTTTGATAATAGGATTCAATTTATGCGAAAAATCTAAACACGTGAGTTATGTTGTTACACGTAATGGGAAGGGACTTCGATCGTTTATTCCCATACTGGGGGGTATTCGTAGTCATAATTTTTAGTTGTTGCTCTGCTCAGAAGCGATATAGAGGTTTCGGGTGTTCTACGCAAGTAATGAGCCCGATGTAACCATCACATACAACACTAAATAAGCAGGCCCTAGAGTGCTACGTTAACCAAAGTGGATTTACAGGGAATCTGATTTGCGAAAAACTGTCGGAGACAAGCTTTTTCTGAAACGGCCGCGCCTAAGTTCTTTAATTTCTTCCAGGATTCGATCGCGATTTTTAATGACGTCGACGACTTCAGCAGCAATTTCAAACGGGTGTTTCGTGGCAAGGAGTGTAACCACGGGTTTTTGAGAAGTGGAACGCGTGCTGAAAAAAAGTCTCTGAGTGCGCGAACTATACGCGTGGAATAGAACCAAGTGTGTGGGGGTTGAGATGAATAATATTTCGATTCTGCAAACTAATTTGGTTCTTTCGAGAGACTCACCTGGAACCCAGCTGAATCTCTCGTTTCTGATGTTCTCAGGCAACTGAATGTGCTGCACCAGGCCGTCTCATGTTTCAGTCGCTACGATATTTGAAATATCGCGATACATGTATGTATTTGTAATGTACTACTCATAAGGTTGCTGGAAATCCATCGACAGCCCACAGATGAGTGAATATTCGCTAATTTCGTGCAATTTGGTTTCAAGCAGAACATAAGGTTGACGGAAACCCGGGGACTGCGCCTACCTGATGAACCCCAAGAAGGGCGAAACCGGTCGTGGGCTGTCGATGGATCTTCAGCAACCTTATGAGTAGTACATTACAAATATTTCGATTCGCCTAGGAATATAAATGCATATCAGACAGGAAAACAGTAAGTAGGTGGAAGTCTAAGCTAGGTGATGCACAGATAATAAGGAGAAATATACCGGCCTGTCAATTGTGCGGAGGAACTCAGATTAATGTACCAAGAGTATGGAGTTCAACCATCGAAGTCCATGTCCACCAAATGCAACAATGTCTAAGGTATGTTGATTCTCATTAAAAAGCCAAAAAGACCGGGTTGCCACAACGGAATTGTACTCGAACCACGAAAGATATTCGTACAGCAAGTGATAACCGAAAAAACTGCGACCGATTAACAACGGAGTTCAAATATCAGCCTGAGTGGACTGACATCCTGTCTCCGTTGACTCGTGTGTGTGTGTGTAAGGAGCCACATAAACCAGTAAACGGAAACAGGGCCACGGGATAGGTAAACCGACAGAAAAAACTAAAATTAACGCCAAATTGTGAGAACTTTGTTGATCAGAAGTACGTGGGCCATCATTAGGAACAGGACATCATTAAAATGCGAATACCAAGTGCGCAAGCACGAACAAATAACTTATAACCAAACTATTCACGAAAGTGCAGCCTATGAGCATGCCCCTCATAACCCAAGAGGCGTCAGTCTTTGGGGAAATTACACATCTGGGTATTACTTTAGTTGTCGGAGAAGTGTCTCATGAAAGCATAAAATGAAAGGTAACGGATGGGGTTAACAAACTAGTGCCATTTATAGCATGAGATGACCGCATCGTCGGACACCAAAAGTCGCATGTACCAAACTACAGTGCACGAAGTTATGCTTGAGCACTACGGCTTGCGCGGACAGACGATAACGTGCTTCGAGATATTTTACCACCAGCAGTTCCGAACAATATGGTGAATGGTGCCAGCAAATTCACGTGCTAATCGAGAGAGGGTGCTCTGTTGTGCAGCAGGTATTCTAGTCTCAGAGAACATTAGGCTCAGCCATGGGCTAGGCGTAATGAATCAACCTACGGAAGAGGCGTTGTTTTTTATCCCTCTTCAGGGTGAGGTGACTGTGTTAATCGCGGGTGTACCTCAGTGAAGCATAGGTGATGATAAAGCAGTGATGTCTCGTCTAAAGTCTAAAGATAACTGGGGTAGTGAAAAAGCTTATACCCCGAAAGGGATTCTAAAGTTGAAATTACGCGTGGCAGTACCGTTAGTGAACAGAATCAGATCTTTATCCAAGGCACAAAACGCACCTGCAGGTCGGCATCTGCCCAGGACTGCCCATCCTCATCCCAATGCCAACACCGCCCATCATTTGAGCAGCACCACCAGCCATCATTGGCCAGTTCTGTTGGGATACGTTTGGTTGTTGCTGCGATTGTATGCCCAAAAACCCCGGATTTACATTAGGACCAGTGCCCAACATGCCAGGACTCATTCGCTGAGGCAAAGATTGACCAGGAATTCGTAGCCCAACATTTGGGGGCGCTTGCTGACCGAGCACACCCGGCAACTGACTGTTCAAATTGAAGCCTGGTTGGGGGGAGTTAAGCTGGGCGCGCGATGTAGGTGTGTTTGGCGCCATGAATCGAGATGCCATTTGCATAAGCTGTAATCCACCAGCTGCCTGAGTACGAGGCAAATTTTGTCTTTGAGGCTGAAATTTAGAACACAGATAAGCGAACGATGTTAGGACCAAAGTGGAAATGGTGTCCTCAATAAAGGAAAACCCTAAGAACAAAGGAACGCATGATACGAGGCAAAGTGAGTCGAACCGGACATATAATGACGGGGAAGCAAAGAAAATACCGGTTAGAATGGTGTAACCGACAACGACTCTTTCCAATTTATGTACCTCTTTTCTGCGAACCTGTCCAATTAAACGTGTTTCCCATAAACGAAACAGACGCTTGCTTGAGAAAAGGCTATCGAAGGGGCGATTTGACCAGATTTCTGTGTTGGTGACAAAACGCAGTGCCTAGATGTCCGAAATGTATGAGGGACGAGGGGTTTTTCTGTTTAGCCCATGGTACTTCTCAAAAACTTCATGTTTGAGATTATCAGCGCCACAAAAAGCAGCATTACCATGAAAACGCCAGTACCTGACCGCTGAATGGGACATGCCGCAGCTAACCCACTGGCTCAACAAAACTGTGAGGGGCATCGAGACTACAACAACGTTTGTATTTTAGACATGCGAGGGCGACACTGACTATTAGGATCAGTGTATCAGAGGTAAAACAGGTAGGTAAAATCACGGCAACTTTTCTGATTTAGCGTTAAATTTTCTTTCACTAGAAGAAACAATCATAGGACGAAAGATGGATGAGTAAATCCAACAGGTTCACAACTTTTACGCCGGAAATATGCTCAACAAACGATTTAACGACGAAACAAGACGAGTGAAAGGTGTGAGCGAACTCCTGGTCAACAAAATTTTCTGTCACAAGGAGACCTTGCAGCACTGTAACGGACAACTTCGTCGTTGACAACGCTACAGAAAAGTAATGGTGCTTCGCGATCTTAGCTGATTCGGATGAAGCCATACAAGGGAAAAAACGGGACGAGAAGACCCATGGTAAGCCTACCAAAAGCACTCAAACTTCATACACCTCGAACAACCAATCTTCAGAGCATACGTCTTGCACCTTCAAAGTGGAAAGTCATGCTTCAGAACGTGCAGTCTCTAAACACATCAGGGAGAATTGTTGGATGTTATGGAGAATTTCACACACCTCGGTAGTTGTATTAGCTTTGGCAGAAGTGTCTGATGAAGTCAGTGCACGAATCACGTCTGCTGATCCGTGACATCAAAAATGTATATCACTGGGTTTCAAGGGTTACGCGTACCATGCTACGGTAAGAGCTGTGTCGTTGTATGGTTGCGAGACATGGCTTCCGCAGATAGATGTGAGGCGTCTGTAGGTTTTCGACCACTGATGCCTCAAAAGCGCTGCTGGTGTCGGATGGCGTAATAAGTTAATTATAAAACGGGCATTTGGATGTGCAGCAGGTACTTCAGTCGCGGAAAACATTCCGCATCACTAACTGCGGTGGCTCGGCCATGTGGCACGCATGCCGAAACGCCGTCTACCGCGAAGTGTTGTTCTCTCAGAAGCGCTGCTGGTGTCGGATGGCGTAATAAGTTAATTATAAAACGGGCATTTGGATGTGCAGCAGGTACTTCAGTCGCGGAAAACATTCCGCATCACTAACTGCGGTGGCTCGGCCATGTGGCACGCATGCCGAAACGCCGTCTACCGCGAATCGAGTGTTGTTCTCCACGCCTCCTCCGAAATGGCGCAAACCACGAGGCAAGCAACGTGTGACTTGGCAAAAGGGTTTGAAGCAGATTACGAAGAGTTTGGGTGTTATCGGAGCGACACGTCTCTCAGGATGTTTGTGTACACAGACACAGTGAACTGCAATTGATTAACGGAGCGTTTACGAAGTACTTTCACCAAAGAACCAAAATACAGGGGACTATTAATCGGCAATCAGTCAGGCCAGGACCCTTAAGGTCGGAGGCTTAAAACGGTACCAGCTACGGGAGTGCGATAGAGAGGCCGGTTTAACAACTGTAATTTGGTCCTCGTTTCAGAAAGACAGCATATATCGGCAAAAAACGAGTCCGGCGTAGGTGAAGAAGTCGTTTTTAGTCCATTTTGCTTCCCAGTGCGAACGTTAAAAGAATGTCAGATGAGATGAGTACCAGAGTCTCAAGAATGATTTCGAAGTGTCTACAGCCGAGCTAAACGTAGATATTTCAACCAACGGCAATCTGTAGCAAGTGACGTCAGTTCTCAAAAATGAGCGCCAGAAACGGAGTCAGGAGGGGGTGAGGAACGAATGTGGGGAAGAGAAAGGAGGTATCAGCGGTAGCCAGTTTTCACTTACTCATTCTGTTGCGTGCAACAAATAAGGTGACCCGGCTGGCGTCACCGCACGAGAACCGATGCGGCATGAAGCTGTGGTTGTGTAACTCGTTGTTGTAAATCGGTTGGGATGCTGTCCGGGAGCCCAGGATCAGAATGGACTATGAGGGTCCTCAACGTAAGGTAGCAACAGTTGGCATAAGACAGAACAGTCTACATTCCCAGAGAGCAAAAGGCCACACCCTGGAGGACCGCAAAACTATGTTAGTCAAGTCACTACAGACTAGCCACTATCCAGTTTGACTCACTGGGTTAGGTATGTGCACAACCGTCATATTGCAGCAGGGTGCGGTCGTTTCGTACCGGGATCTATGGCAGGTACGATGATGTTCTCATGGACGATGAAGGGTCAAGATTAGATGGATAGTTAGTCTGCGAGAAAATCAGTAAATCCAACTTGTACGAGTTCGTCTTACTTGATGGACAAACTGTGGCGAGTGGTCGAAAATAAATTTATAGTTTCAGTTTAGATGTGGTATTGGACAGTGTGGACATTAACCAGTCAGAAATAATAAACCAGATAGAAAACGAGGACATGAAGGGAGGAAGAGGACTGTAATTGTGTGAGCAAGCGCTTGAATGGGAAGAGTCGGAAAAAAAGAGTAGAATTAAGCCTATTTGTCCGAGGGACGGTACATTACGAGCCCCTCCTGTTAGAAGTGGGGGAGGCTTTCAGAAGGGTAACTGCTTTGTGTTTCTGGTTGAAGAACAGATAACGGTGCAAGTCAAACAAGGAGTTGGAAATATATTGAGTCAGTGATTACGACGGTAGCTACACACTATTTTGATGCGATGAAGCCATCCAGAACGCCCAGTACACCCACACTACGTGTCTGTGGGCGCCAAAGCAATTCGACTCAGACTGGTGGTCGTTGGCTTGTTCGCTGAGCTGGGCAATTTGATCGCAAACGTTTCATCACCAATCGAGGTGGTTAAAACTACCAACCCACCGCTACGCGCTACTACGCTCCACAATAACGCACTGATGATGTCACCTCGATTGGTGATGAAACGTTTGCAATCAAATTGCCCAGCTCGGCGAACAAGCCAACGAGCACCATCGACTGACTTACAACACACCCACATCACATCCAGTTGGCTCCTCTGTCCCCATTGGCCCTTTTGACTGGTGATGTAACCTGTTCCCGTTTAAATTCCACTTCTCCTACACACTTTCGTCTCGCCGTTTTTTAAATCTACTCGTGTGCAGAACTCTTCGGCTCCTAGGATAGCCAAATTTCTAACTAACCCACGACTTCGACAAGAATCTCACTGGCGTCCCCAATGAAGGAATGCTTGAACTTACATTTTTTTAAATCCAACTGAATGGTTCAGTGATGCGGCTAGAAGAACAGAATGTATGGACGGTGGGATCCTTGACGCACTCTCCCGTCCCAATTATTATTGCTCGCAATTTCAATATTGTCACTATCGACAACGTCAAGAATACAGTTGTCAGTTACAAGACAGACCAGCTTCCCGGTGTACCCATCGGAAGTGGAAATGAACAATCTGCAGTTCCATACTCTTAGCTACTTCTAGCTTATCTTCATACTGTGGTTGTTAGTTCTTTCGGAGTACAGTATGCATAGCGGAACATTTTTCCCTTTTCACTTTTTATGGACTTTGGTGATAAAGTCCTCTCCCCGGGGAAGCTTTGCTACAGACCATGTACAAGAAACCGACAGTCGAACGGTTAGCTTCTAACCAAAAATCCCTTCGTTCGACCAGTCAGTCATCCGGTAACACCTTACACCTCATGCTTTCTTTCGGTTGGATGATAGCTAATCACCGAAAAGAATGCCTTAACTGCAAAACAAGTCAGTCAAAATTTCTATCCCATTCCTATTCTCCTGTTCATGACCCCGACCTGAACCAGATTACTTAAGAGGTCAAGATATTTTTTAAGCCCCGTCGCTTCCCCAACCTTCATTAGTCAGTCGTGCAGCTTGGAAGCCATTTTCCACTACTCAGCAATTTAATTAGGACTATCAGAGATTGTTCAGCGCCCCTAAGCGATGTCCGGGTGGTAATGTCCGTATTCCGGAACTTGTTCCGACAATACCTGATCTTTTCCTTTTTTCCTTTTTAAGGTGTACTTTCGACCGCTTGCAAAAGTCCGCCCGCTATCTCTATTCCGAGGAGTGACTCTTCATCTGATATAAACCACCGTTGTAACTCTGATGCTTCTATTGTGACCAAGGTTCTGGAGTCTATCTTGGCCTAAAAGCCTCTATGTGAACCTCGTAAGTGATCACTGACACGGGTCTAGGCGCGATCCCTCCACTGGTGACTTGTCGTTATAGGGTCATTTGCCCAAGACCCGCTTGACAGGACCAAACTGGTGTCTTGATGTCTGAAAGACTTTCGGTAAAATACGGCATGACGACCTGATCGCTAAAGCACCGACGTATGCAGAACAATTCTACCATCGTGAAGAGATCGATTAGGGTACGTCTTGAAGGTTCTCTCTTCCCAGATGCAGTCAACTCAGGAGTTCCCTAAAGCTCCGCTCCTTCCCCTCCTCACAAGCACCGTACCTCCTGTTTAACAAGGATTTCTCTTGTCTCTGGTGGCAACTACACCTTTGTAGGTGATGCGGTTCCCCTGACACTTATTCGCTCAAAGACCGGCGCCACCTCGGATTAGTGGTGACCTCGGGGATGCCGTTGATATACTGAACACCGGTCCTCCATTCATATTCGGACTGGCTGAACACGATTACACTTAATTTTACCTAATCCCACATCCTCCTCTTTGATGCACCGGTCTCTCACCCTGTATGATTCTTAACCGACCTATCAGTCATTTACGTCTACGTCTCTCCGCACAAGCAATAGCAACCAGGGACTCCGAAAAATCACGTTCCATTTCTTTGTTCTCGTAAAGGCTTCTTCCGTTCCAACAGATCCTGGATCTGATGAACAATGGAATATTGTAGTCATATTCTGGGCAATGAACCCTTCACTCTGAACCTATCATTTGGATGTTTCATGCCTTTGACTAATGTTCCTTATTCCTACAGGTAAGTTGCTCCATAAATAACTTTTAATGAAAACGTGATTAAACAATGATTAATTTCGTGGTGACGTCATCCCCTATTCACGGCTGTAAGACGCACACAGCTATACCTTGCCCCGATTATTGCATGCAATCGTAATAACACAGTAGAACACCAAATTCCCGTAAAATGATGAAAAGTATGTCGATGGTGGGAAATGTGACACTAGACATGCAAAGGTGTTCGGAGCAATAGCAAACTGTTGAGACTGAAAAGTTGATTTATCCGGTAAATACTCCAGGTGCGAAATCTTCGCTGGTTGGCATTTGTGAAATGCCACCTCCAATTGATAACATAACAAAAGTAGGTGTGAACATAGGGTTACTGCAAAATATTGGCACCTAACCATCCTTACTCAGTTTCCCATTGTATTGTTCTCTCAACCTCTCGTAACAGGCAGACACTCATAAGCTTAGAGGACGGCAACGGAATTAGTCAATGAATGGATAAAACTCTCAGATGAAGCCAGGTAACCTAAATTATGGTGGCGAAGGGATGCATGCCGTCGGATAAAGCGATAAGGATGCTGGCATCAGCCGGAGTTGTCAAATGACTGTCCAAAAGGAAAACTAGTCGAGGACTACTACTGAGTCATTTATTGGACCCGTTGGCAAGTACTGGGAGAATAGCCTTGATATGCGAAGTGAATTCTAGCGTGGCCGACTAGTCACACAGACCTCAGGTAATTCTAGAATGAAAGCAAGTAGCCGACAATTTGCCAAACACAAGTGGCAACATCACCTTCGGTGACGAAAGATCATAGTCGGCAGCGCGATAAGTGGACAGAATTTGGCGTTAAGTGAGATCATCACAATGCGAATAGCTCCAAGTTAGGTTGTTCTGTTCCAGAGAAAATCTATAGACGTCGCTTGTACAAACTTGAGGCCTTATTCACAAACATACCACAGTAATCTCCTGGTGATTTCAAGTGGCTTGCTACACGATTGGTTGCTTCTTAAGTTACATACGTAAATTCCGCTCATTTTCACCATCCCAACCGCAACCTAAATGAGGCGGGAATATATCTCAATACGAGGATGCAACGTAAAGTTGTGGGTGGTAATGGTCGAGTGACGCAAAGCAAAAGCAGTTAACCAAAGAAAAAGTAGACCGCACTTGCTGGATGGATGAAAAGGGAATAACAATCAATCGCAATCCCTTAGAAGTGCAGTGCAAAAACCACGGACAACATATGGCGTGTTCATTTTGACGCAACTCAGTGTCGAATCTATCTCGCATCAAAGTTCGCGATCTCGGATAGGTTGTGAAATTGGGTGGACGATACCTGAGGTGATTTAGGCGATTACCCTCAAAAAAGGGAGAACAATGGACAGCGCGGTCTTCGTCAGTCCAAAGCCAACCAAAGCCTAGAAACATTTATCAAGAGTTAAATGATGGGTCCTCCGAACCCGAAAGCAAGCTAAAGATGAATTAAAACATTACGACGAGCCATGTATGCTTATAAGGCTCATCAGAACTAGACTACCGCAAAGCGCAAAATATGGAACTAAAGATGAAATAGGGAGGTAAGATCTAAGAAGCGATGGGTGTGCATCCGCTGAAGTTCAAATCCCCTTGCCAACCACAAACCATGTAGACAGGTTGATTGCAGTTGTTTCAGTGCAGCGTACATTCATGTCGAACGGAAAATTTGCATAACAAACCCATGATCCAACTTGGTGGTGCACAAAACGAAACAAGGTGAAACCGCAAAATCGAAGTTGACAAAGAGGTTGACCAGTGACAAAATGTTTCCAAATAACATGTTCATTACAGCTGGCCCAGTAAGAACGCAACACACTTATAAAAGCAAGTTTAAGGGAACACAGAATGCCTATGTATATAGAGTGGAGCCCTCGGTAAACAAGGCGCCGCAAGCATAACAGTGAAAATCTTCATCATTGGACACGACACGTTCGCTGACAAAGATTACACTAGGTAGTTTGGATATCTCCCTCATGTAGCAGATAGAGGAAAAATCGTATCCCTTACAGAAGATCGGGAGGTGCCTACGGCGACCAAGTTGTTTCGTGCCAAGCTTTTCATGAAGCCATAGAGGTACCACTTATACACACTAGCAGTAACATGGATCTTATCATTATCAAACTGTTGCATACCTCTTACTGAAAACGCCATTCTGCTGTGAGATCCCCTTCAGGCTCTTTAAGGACCAAAACATAAAAGCAAATATTACAAGTAACCGCGACGATCCACATAGAAGGTTTTGGAATCGGACGTAGAGGTGAAACAGGAAGGCCCAATAAACCAGTAACTGTAAATACTAGACAGAGCCATTGGAAAAATATCAGCTGAACACAGAATTCCACAACGAAAAACTGGTCCAACTACGGACCTGGCTTGTTTTTTTTATTGGAATCCGGGACAACTGACCACCAAACACAACGGAGTACCACTCGTTGAAACGGGAAACCAGGTAAATCAGACATCGAAAAGAAAACAATTTTATTTGGGTGAATTAATCGTAGTGGTTTCTTACTGTATTATGCTGTGGTCTCTGGTTCCGTTGCGATCGCTTGTGACTTTGCTCTCTAGGTGTATTTGTACCTGAGATGGAAGGCGAGCCTGGTTGATTCGCGTTGGGAGCTGGAGTACCGTTTTGCTTATTTCCGGAAGGTTTCGGACTATCCGACTGACTATCACCTAACCGTGCCTTCTTGGGAGCGGACTCTGTTGAGCTAAGGACGAGGTAATCATTAACACATGTTGAGGGATTAGAAAGATCACTGGTATTAGTTCATTAACAACATCCAAACGCGAACTAGGGCAAGTCAAGCTAGGGAAAACACAGCAGTTATACGTACCTAACGAAATGAAGATAATATAGAGCACGAAGGAAGACGGCAACTGAATGCCATGTTCAACAAGTTTTCAAACCAAGAACAGGCTGATTCAAGGTTGGCGTATGAATGGCCGCACGGAAACCTAATAAAAGCTTGGATAGGTAACAAACTGCTATGGAAGGTGCTAACTCTTAAGGTAGACTGATCAGCCGAAACAAACGGGGAGTCGATCAGTGTATCTTAAAAACGAGAACTTTTTGTCCCACAGGAACGGAAAAACCGCAGTGACATGGAAGCTCTAGGAATTTAAGATGGACAATAGCAATCAGGTGGAATACAGCAGACAAGATACTACAAAGAGTATTCATTAACACTTCGAACGGGTGTTAAAGTTGTCGCACTTTAAGCGTAATATCAGGTACAGAAACGGATATAGTACTACTCAAAACTGGTCATAAAAGTTGAACTGCCGAGGGCTCCGTAAAACATATGAAGCAACTTAGAACCTGACGAGGACTGACACGGAGCTAAGACGGTCAATGAAAAAACGATAAACTCTGAAAACTGTCGTTCGGCTACAACGCCCTTTCGGTGCTTAGTTGCTACGACACCCGAAGGTATCACGAGGGCTGAGGTACTGCCACATTGCCCAAGCTTAGATAGAATCAACTAAGATGCAGAGGTTGGGTTCGAACCATGGACCCTCTGGTCAGTAAGTTCACACCTTAACAACTGAGCTATCTCAAGAACTGAGAACTGTAATGATACATACAGCCTTCGTGATAAATGCCTCACTCAATCAAACGTTTCTGTCCATGTGAAACATGCAAATGAATGCATTTTATGTTATTTATAGATTGCGATTACAGCAGGCGGTGTGACTTCAGAACTACGCTTCAAAATACGGTAAAGTGGGGGCTTTTGTAGAAATCTGATATAACCTGACTCACACTTCACGTGAGATAACTCGTCACTGCTGTAGCTCTGTTACGATCTGTGTACAGTTTGCAGTCAAAACATTGTGACCCTAGGTAAACAAACTGTGAGCTGTACAAATCACGGTCTTTGTGCATATTTTGGAAGTTGTGATAACAAAAAAGCTCAAGCCCGTCTGAAAAGCCCCGTGAATGCATGGAAATTTATTCGCAATCCGTGCATGACCAGGACCCACTGTGACAACACTTGTGATGAGCTCTTGGGGGTCAAATTCGTGGTAAGGAAAGTTAGACAATACTAAAACCACAACACACGCTTAATAAACACAGTGCGTGAGCATTCAATGTAACCCGTTCGTCGGTCAAAGTATCCGATAAAGTTTACTTTTAGTGGTTGTCAGGAGATGGCAATTATGTTAAGCGTTACAAACTAACAGGATAGGCACAGCCGTCCTATTCACCAGCGGAGACCTTACACCATTACATTACGGCAAGGTAACTAGTAAATCAAACTGCCTGGATGACACTCAAAATAATACAAACTATTGTCAAGTGCACGCTTTTGGTGGGGAAGTGATTTTGGGCACCAGATGAAACTGTAATAAGAGGACGATTCCACCTGAAAAAATCAGCCAACAAGTATATTATCAACTCGGAGGTTAACGTTCTCCATTGCAAAAAACTTAAACACACATAGGAGCCATTTCGAAATCACTGAAGTGAACTCTGCAACAGTGGTGCAAGAATCTAGGGCTGAGATTCTATTGCTAATAAAAAACTTCGAGACAGTTGTCAGTGTAACCACATGCGGTTAAGCTTGAATAGCAGAATCCGCCGCTGAAATCATAGTAAATCGTGAAAACCAGAACAGTAAGATTATCAACAATAAGATGCAACTTGCAGTAAACCCTTCTTACCTAACAACGCCATCGACAGTCACATCAACTGGTGATTGCAGTTTCATCTCGGCTGCTGGGGTTACAAGCGGTAGACAGAAATAATCAGGGGCAACACCAGGGATAGCTAAAGCGATCCAAAAAGCTGGATACATAAGGTGTATGCGAGGATCGCTAATGGTAGTCTAGTGGATACCACAGCGTCTGGCAACGGATACCTCGCAAAAATACATAAGAGGTTACGTTGAACTGAGATCAGAGATAATTCGAAAAGGATATTACCAAAGTCAGATGAAAATGGCTATACAGGTAGAAGGGAGAATAAATCCACGAACCAATTCCCGGATACTTATGACGACTATACTAGCTAGAGCCCTCCTAGTTTCTCCACAAGCTGCATTCTCAATGCAGATAAAAACGAGACACATGAGTAGGGAAGCAAAAGTATTGATGAAAAATTGCAAACCTGAAGTAAACATCTACCTATAAATAAGGGCCCTGTTTGCGGCAAACGTGGTTTCATGAGAACTCCGAAAGGAACGAACAGCCCATCAACAGTCAGCTTGGCAATAAGATGCAAAAGACGAGTGACATAAGTACCAATGTTTACACGCATTCATCGTTTCGAATTATGAAAGGTCGATCTATCTGAAGCATCTAGCTTTGTACACATGTTTAATGCTTAGTACAATGCTAATGGTGACTGCTACCCAGTTAGGCCCTGGTACTTATGTTATGCGGAATTAGGGAAAGTCGTAGTAACTGTCTCAGATTAAGTGTTGTTGACAAATCACCTGGCCAGCAATAAAAAGCACGTGCCAGAAAAAGATGCCTAAACAGGTCGAAACCTGACGTTATGCGATCCGGGCCTGTTTGAAAGAGGATCTATGTTCACAGATTAGCGACACTTGGTAAGAAAACAAACACTAGCGGCTGTTTACCAATGGCAGCAGCGTAAGCAGAAGCAGTACTCTGAAAGGCGACTCACGTTCTCCAACCAAACAAAAGCAAGATATGTGAAACTTGTTGAACCAATTTTAGCAAAGTGGCTAGTCCAATACGAAGCGATGCAAATGCTCCGAACAATAGGGCGATTAAATCAACACAAAGAATGGCAATGTCCGAAATAACTGAAAATGAAAACATGAAACTAGCGTCATACGAAACATGGTGGAAGTTGATCAGGCTTAAGATGGATAGAGCTCATCAGCTGTGCGCAGTACATGGCCTGTAGGGTAATCGACTTTTCCGCTGACCTGACTTGCCAAGTACGCCCAATTTAACAAACGTGGATCGTGTACATAGGACGCGGCCCGGGTTATCACAGCAAGTGGCAGTGGAAAGCATAAGGAGGGAAGTTGGTACTAGAGGAAACTGCGAAACAACAGACATCGAGAGTGAATACATGGATGCAAGTGTCACTGGCTACCTGACATCACTTTGGTAATTACGGAGTGCGATTAATAATGAATTAATCGTTCACCTGTAACACCTTTCCCATGCCTAGCTGATACACTACCCAAAGAAAGCACGAGGGCTAAGATAGTGCCAGACTGATCAAGCCTAGATAGGAGCAATCGAGGTGCTGAGACTGGATTCTCACCACGGAACTTTCAGTAAGTTCGCATCTTCTTCCTCAACACATAAAGGATTGCCAGACAAACGACCACCTGAAACACTAAATAAGCGTGGCCAGTCACTTTCAGTTCCCATTTAGACTAACAAAACAAAACCAGTTAAAAAAAACCAAACGTCGGCAACCTGCCCGACGATATGAAGCGCATGTCAAATTCTTCATTGGCGAATGCATGTCGCACTGGCGGCAAGCATTGGACCACATACGACTAATCAGACTCAGTAGTTTTGTTCCGTGCAATCGCCTGGCGACGGAAGAAACATCAGCACTGAAATTTCGGCACACTCGGTTTGTAGCGGCCAGAGACATAGTAGCCCAAAAATAACAGAGGACAGTTCCGTAGTAAAACTCCAATTAATGAGAAGGTTCGCAATAAGGACGAACATGAGGGAATGGGGCGAAATTTCGGGCCGTAATGAAGACAATGAGGATCCAGAACTACCCACGGGAACGAGACCTCAGCCCTTCAAAGCAGCTAGGATGACGTGACCAACCTTACGATTAATAAAATGAATATGAAGCACGAAGGTCTGGTTTATTCCTTTCAAAAGTTTTCATGCTGCTCCTTCAAAGTTAGTTATTATATCTGCTATGCGTTTGAGGAGTGAATTATGCCCGCCGCCAACCAGGCCTCGCCACACCATTGTTAGACAAAACTGCCTACTGGCTGTGGGAACTTCTTAGATAACCAAGTTAGTCCTGACAACCAACTATGGGATGAAGAAATTAGATTTGGTCCCAGGCCTGCAGTGTCTCTAAATCCAAGTTCGGGTGTGAAGGATGAAAACAGTCCACCAGGCATCCAATCATCAGGCAGTATGCTCAGCTAATCTGTTAAGCACCAGCAAGTGGCTACGTACAATCCTCCCAATATTCCCAAGTTACCTTCGATTACCGTGGTGATGTCCCATAGTACCACATTATACAAACTGGACAACCGAAACGACTTCACACCGGATACGCACACAAAGGCAAACAACAGTGAGGCAGGACAGTAAAGTTGCAGTGGCAATATGGATGCATGTAGTCATCAAGATTCTTGTTCTAACTGCCAGTTTCCCACTTGGAAGAATGGAATTGCAAGTGGTAAAAGAGCCAAAAGTACTCAAACTGGTGCAGTCGAATGACATTCGATGTTTGCGCACAGAGAGAATCACACAGGAAAAATCTGTCGTGCCGAGTGAAACCAGATTAGCAGTCAAAAAATCCTGACAGCTACGATGGTTAGTTGGAAGCTCCAAAAAAAGGCCCTGAATTATCGAATGTCGGAGATATCCATGCGGCTCAGCATCTGATCGTTATGTGCCACCAATTTATGCCTAAACTCGGAGGAGCGGATTCCCACCATGGTGTCTGAAATTCGGCGGAGGAAATGGTACAGGAAAACAGGTGAGTAGAATATCACACACAATGCGTTCGAGTTTATTGGCCATACCTGTGAAAACAAAAGTGAAGAATTATGCAACAAGAGGAACCATGTCAGTAGTCAGGATATTGTCTGTAATACCCTCCCATTCATGTCCTCCCTCCGCTGTTTTAGGAAGTACGTGAAAGGCTTAAGTGGGGTCTACCAAGAAGCACAGAAGAGTGCACCAGAGTGCACTCTCAACAGACATATGGCAAAAGACTAACTGGTGTGAGCAGACTTGGTAATTTTCAACAGATATTCCGTTCTGTCAGTAACACCAATCTTCCCTGTAAAGCCGAGAAGTATTGTACAGTTGTTTTATCCTTGTAGAAAATCATCAGCAGTGTGCACCCCACGAAATTCAGTTTCGAATCCGACCCTCCGACTAGCGCCTAGGAAACTGACCGTTCGAACACGAGTAGCTGATTAGCGGCGTAGCTAGCTCTCACTTGAAAGAACATAGCGTCACTCATCGTTCAATCCAGGAAACCACATCACATGGTTGCGTGCAGACTGGTTCCTAGTGACCACTTTTCAGAAGTTCCACTCGTCTTGTGAAATTATCTTTCCCGAGCTATATACAGATTGAGTGATGTGAGCAGAACTAGTAATTTTCAGAACATATCGTCCTGTTTAAATCTCCACACATTAATCTGTAAGTAGTTCAAAGGAAGAACAAGTTCACCAGCGAAACTTTCTATCGAAAAGTCAATCTGTGCGTGGTCATGTGATGTGGTTTCCGTGATTGAAAGAGAGTGGGGCTATGCCCTATTCAAGTGAGAGTTAACTACACCACTGATCAGCCACTTGAGTTCGGACGGTCAAGATTTCAGCCACTGATCTGAAAGTCGCGGGTTCGAAAAGGTTTCGTGGGATGCACACCACTGAAAACTTCGAACAGGAATGAAACAGCTGTAGAGTGCTTCTCGGCTTTTCAGCAGAGATTTACTTCATTAACAAAACGAAATCCCTATTAAAAAGGCCAACTCAAAAACCGTTCCTTTTCTATGGCAACGAATGTCGTCACTGGTGTGAGAATGGCTTGGCAAGAGTTTCACAGCAGCCATTAGCTGAGTGAAATGCCACTCGGTTTTCCGCCGGGTGTTACCGCATCGTTGAAAACTTGATTTTTCTGATCACATGATTGTTCGAACCGGATCTAGGGATCGCAACTCATACGTTGGTTCGGTTATGTAGACAGGCCGCATCTCCTGTATTTATTTAGAAACATGCCCAGACGGACTGACCGGTAACTTATAGGCTACGATACATGCGTATAGGTTACAATCCGTATTAAGGTAGTGGGACCTCAGGCAAATGGGTTCTCTCACAAGGCACCATTCAGTGCGACCCGTGAAAGCCAATAAAAACCAAAAATCACAACGGGGAGCAAGCGATCTAAGATCAACAGAATCAAATAACCCTTGACTGGCCAGACATCAGTTAGTTTGTAAGTACTCTTGAACTAAATAAAAAACACGAGGGGAAATTAACACAACACAACTACTCGCAAGTTCAGAACTGGTTACTGCGCTAGGATGTCAGCAGCAGTACAACGGGTCAAAAAGAGATATGATGGGGGAGAAAGGTGTTGGGAGGACCGTGACGATACTTGATACTAATCAGCACTCATTATGTCCGTGTTGAACACATGTTACATTACATGGACTGGTAGAAACTTAGGTACTATAAACTGTTACGATATAGGGCTTGGGCTACAGCCCTTGTAGTGGGGATGCCTCTGAATTGCCAATAAGGCTCCAGGCAAACAGCAAACCAGAAGTTGATGTAAAAGATAAATGTACACATGCATACAGTATGGGCCGTATCGATTGGTGGAATGGGAAGATATCAGAGGTTGAAGTCTTTAACATTCTCAAATTAAAGGCATACTGAGTCGAGGGTGTTGATACTCGGGACTTGAAACAGACCGGCGGAACGGAAAGCGAGAAGACACCAGATGAATTGTAAACGTAGGCGTGGTGGTCGATTGTCCTGCTGGAGTGCATGGCAAGTATATTGAGAGATGAACTCGACCGGTAGATGAAACTTGTGGCATCCCTAAAGTGGGTTGCATAGGCCAGGTAGCCAGAAGTTAATTCGATGGATGTAGTGTCGGACAATCAGACCAAGCGCTAGAAGTCTGGCTGCTAATCTGGATAGTACTACGTCAGAAATGACAAACTGATCAGTCTGGTAGTTATAACGTTGAAAAATTACTGGGGTAAAGACAAAGTAATTCCGAATGAAAACCAGCCTGGGTGTTCCAATTCCACCGGTTACCTGGAGATTCGGTTACGGGGAATTCAATGAGTTTGGATTCTTCCTCAATAGCCAAATCATTCCCATAGGTCAAACGGAACATAATAGGCGGATATCCATTTGATAACTTGGAAGTAGCCAGCAGGTCCACACAAGGAAGAGCATACGTTTTCAGATTGGCCTCATCAATTTCACCGCTCAGCTGGATCCTAATATCTGGATGTGATGTTTTCAGCTGAGAAGCCCGTGCGTCGATTTCCTAAGGGGAAAATCTTAGTAAATAGTCGAATTACCTGGGGGACTTGATTAAAGACAACAATGTCTGCGCCCGAATTAGCCGCCTCTGAAGCCTGTTCAATGTTGTCACACTCGACTTCTATAGGCACTCCTGGAGCAGCGGAACGGATTGTGCGAACAACCTGCAGGCGTAAAGTGACCAAAGAACACCTACCACATCAATGCCTCCTGGGGAAGCTGCCTGAAGCGCTCGAAGACATGCGGTCGGCTTCATGCTGGTTAAGCCGGCAAGAAGCATGGCATATTCCTCCACTAAGTCAAACCCGGGCGTGAGGGACCTTGGAACTCTCATTTTCCCCTTCCAAGCCGTCTCAGACAGCAGCTTAGAGAGTCTGCGGAATTCAGATCTACTGGGAAAACCTACTTCCGACCGTAAGTAGTAATGCCGCTCGCCCGCGAAAGGATGCTCACAGCAAGCTTCTCACACGACAGTAAATCACCGAGACATCCTGTCACTGTGGCCACAACGAAGCCATGATCAACCACAACGTCCCCATCAGCCACATTCCACTTGACTGTGCATCCAAACTCTTTAAACAACGCATCCACGAACGGGATACCCGCAAGAACTCCTACACGAAGGTCAGCAACCAAATTTATGACCTTACCAGGACTGCACATCTGCACCGATGCTAAGACTCGGTGTTCCGATTTTACTCCAAAGTAGCTTATCGCAGTCTCACGGCAGCACCAGGAGGAGACAAGTGTACGGACAACCTCTTTATTGAGTGTACACGAAGCCATCTTACGCGCACTCCAATGCCGCCAAAATCGAGCAAATGACACGACTCAGCAAAGTTTCAGTTCACTAGGTCCAATAGGCGTACATCCGAGAATGAAGCCGGTAGCCCGTGGATCCGGGTTGGAGATCCTTCGATACTGTTCGCAGTTCCTTGGTAAGTAGCCGAGAGTAAAGAAACAACTAGAAAAAATTGGCAGTGGTGGGTAATCCAGCGGTATTCACGGATTCACGGATTGATGCACAGGATCGAGGCTTTTGCCCAAGTCTCCCGGGTCGGCTTTGTTCTTGTCAGTCAGTGGCTGTCGTTCACCTGAAAAGCACAAGTGAAAAAGAGTGAAGCACTTCTCTTTATATTCACAACGCGGGGCAGGATGCTTGACGGCTAGAGGATTCGCATAAATAAATGTCTAATAGTGCTTTAAACTGGGTCCCAGAGGGAGCGTGGACAACCGTCGGAGGAAGGTCATTCCACACAGCTAAGACCCGAAATGAGAAGAAATTTTGTCTAATGAATGTGTGTGCTCTGAGCTTGAAAAAATTTCCACTATGTTCCCGCCGTGTGTTCGCTGGGTCAACAGTGAAAAACCTATTTGCCAAGCTTTGTTCAAACAGGACATTAATAAGAATTAGGTCCCCTCGGAGACGACGGTACTCCAGGAGGAAGAGGTCAAACATCGCGAGACGCGTTTCGTAGTCCACGGATTTGGGGCCGGCAACCATTCTCGTAGCGGCCCGCTGGACACGCTCAATGAGGGTGACGTCTGAGTGGCGTCCTGAGTAGACGACTTGGTTGGCGTACCCCAGGAGCGGTCTGACCTAGGCCCCATAGAGCGTTTAGAAGTCCATGCGAGTAATACGGGAGAAGGTGCGTCGGATCATCCGTAAAATAGCGAATGCCTTTTGGGCCGATTCATCATGGTGCAGTGAGAAGCACAAGTTTGAGGAGACCCAGATGCTCAAATCCTTTTTGGCATCTATCCTCATGATGTCGTCTGGTGTCTTTTCAACCATGCATATCAAAGGCATTCGCTGAATCCCCTCCAAACGA